ACTATATTAGGTAGCACAGTTGGCACAGTTGACTCAGTCCTGGATTACTTCATTCATGATAGTTCTTCTGGAGAAGTGGCTGCTGAGATCTGATAAATGCTTCACATACTCTAGAGCTACCCCATCTATGTAGTTTGTCTGGGAGATTCGCAACTATTTCAGGGAAGGTTGGTGGATGATTTTCATCTTGTCATTGTTTATGGGTAGGCCAAGCAACAGACACGAGGTGCTGAAAAGGATGAGCAACTTTTGCATGTCCTGTGAGGTGTGAGCCATGACACTGCATTCATTTGTAACCTGGAAATTGTGGACCCCCATGGTGGTGAGTTTTGTTTTTACCCTGAAGTGACCAATGCACATTTAATGATATTATAATTGATTGAAGCTTATTCCAGTGCTAACATTTGCATTTTTTCCCCATAATAATCAAAAGTGCAAAAAAAAACTAATTTAGAATGAGTCACCAGTATATTAACTGAGGCTGCTGAATGTGATCTAAAGTTATTTCATCTACCCTGTATGTCTTAACTCTTCTAATAATCAAATGTTAATTCAAGATTTCACCACTATGTGCAAGATCACGCAAACCAATTTCCATCCCCACTCCCACAACCTTCAAGCTAAGTGGTCAGAAGACACACAAACTTCAGTCTGTTTAACAAAAATAAATCTGCTTGTTTTTGTACATTGCAATTTTGTCCAATTATATACAGCACAGGTACAAACATTGGAACAATTTGCTGCAAAAACGGATGGGTGGGAAGGAAACTGTAACAGGGAAAAGACCTGCAAAAGGGATAATGGCTGCTACCTGAAGACTGTCCCAATGTTCGGCTCAATAATAAAATAGGCAATATGGATGCTTGTCAACTGCTCCTTCTTGTGTATCACAAGACAAGGTCAGCAGATGTTGCCTAATATGTCATATCTCAAGATCAGTGTGTCAGCATACCTAAAAGAGACATGCCCATGATATTAATGTACGATAGCCTGTGATGAGGATATAAAGATCTCAAACTCCATCCTACCTCAGGATCATGTGAAACTACTGGAAGAATGTTGCTCCATGTAACTTAATAGTTTAATGTTAGCCCAGAAACCAATGTACCAGAGTGATGTAATGATTATGTATGACAGCTGTAACAAATGTCCACTGGATTCTTCATTACCATGGTATCGACACCCAGTTTCTAATATTACAAGGGATAACAGAAACATAGCCACATCAGGTAAAACAGCACACTATCATCACATGAAAACATCACCATGTACAAATTCCCAATCAAGCCCACACCATCCTATTTTGAACCATATTGTTGTTTCTTCACCGTTGCTGGGTGAAAATCCTGGAACTCACTTCCCAACAATTCTGGGTGTACATCTACACCACATGGACTGCAGGTGTTTCAAGAAAATGGCTCATCACCATCTTCTCAAGGGCAATTAGGAATGGGCAATAAATGTAGACTTATATGATATTTCAGTGACACTCATGTTCTGAGAAAGAATACAGTAAAAAATTCAGATTCGAAGGTGGGTTGAAATCAGCTACAGACTCAATAAAATGAAGTATGCTGTGAGCTGAAGTTACTTTCACCTTATAAGATTATAGCTCCATGCCTTATCCTTGCTGAAGATGGAAGCATTCCATAACCCACTCCCCCTGCGCCTGGCAGTCATGGGGATCCAGATCTCCACCTTTTTTTTGCCTTGCATCTGGGAGATAAGCAAAACCTGAGTGCAAATCAAAGGAAAATCCACCCCATAGTGCTATAGTAACTATTACTGCAGCTACAAGTACTAAGAATAAAACAATGGGGAAAATGGGCAGACATCCAATTGGCATTGAATCTTAAATTCAGGATTTTGAAAGACATTTCAATAATTATTAATATGTCTAATTCATTTTCCAACAAAAGGACACTTGGAGTTAATTAGCATGTACTTTAACATGCATTAATGAGCTAGCGTTATTTGGTTTAATAGTTTGGCTTGTAGTATTTTTGGATAAACACACTACATTCAGTGCCAAAACAAGACAAGAAAATAAACTATATCAATGCATCTGTACGGCTGATACACATTGATATATCAGTGTCACCTCTAAGAAAATCGCAAAAGCTCTGTTGGCTGTAGTTCAGAATTGGCACATATCTAACAATTCCTTTGTTATCTGGAAGGGAGAATGTTCTCTTGTTTATCTCATGACCTCAATATAAAAAAGAACAAAGGTCTTTCACTCAGAAGGTCCAGTGTATCTAGATAATCAAATTCAGTTCCAATCTCTGCACAGCTCGAATGTAACTTTTCACAATTATTTTCCAAAAATAGTAATAACTTGCCAAAGATCAAAAAGTACATATCATATGTCACTAAGGATTGTCAATGAATGAAAATGTCACCCTACGTCTAATATTTTATCATTCTAAAGGAGTTATCTTCAAAATGGTAAATTGCAGGCAGGCACATTCTTGTCAATGAATAATGATGTTACTGGTGTCATTTGCTGATGTCTGAAATCTCAAGGGCATAGTCAGTTTAGTTGACATGTCTATTGTGTAGAACAGCAGGGTAGTAGCTTCAAGCTATAACAGAACTGTAGTGAGAGACATGACACGTCTTAAGAGGTGATGAGCAGTGTCAGGGACAAGCAAGTAATGGCCTGAAGGTAAAGTACAAGCAGAAGGAAACATGAAGAAAAATCTGGAAATGAAATGGATTACTGTACTGACAAAGAAGTAAGACTGATTTTAGAGCGAAAGTAAATAAGCCATTAAAAAAAACATAAAATTGCTGAAGACAAAAATTTAAAATATCCTTGAGGACCCACATGGTCATAAGTAAATAAGAGTAAGAGTTCTTCTAATCGCACCATTCTGTGCATTCCAAGAGAGAAACATATCAAAAATTGATGGATTTGGCACTTGATGGTTTCAATTTGTCTTCAGAAAATCGAAGACCTTAAAAAGAAATGATATCCTCCATATATGGACTCCAGTTGTATTAGGGATCATCTTTCACGTCAGCCTTCCTGCTCCTATGATGCTGCTTGGCCTGCTGTGTTCATCCAGCTCTACACCTTGTTATCTCAGATTCTCCAGCATCTGCAGTTCCTACTATCTCTGATACAATCTTTCCAGTTGGGTCTTGTTTATATGTTGGAAGGGAGAGAAACAAGAAATGCCTGGCATTCCCACTTCTATCAGATTCTCATATTACATCTACAAAGAGTTGAAGGCTGAACAAAAGCTGTACCCCTTAACCACAGCATATTGACTTCTTATTATATTAAAGAGGTTAGCAATTTATAGGCACCTGAAACTTTTTGAAACTTTTCATAGAGGCAATAATATTGGAGTTAATCCACTAATAAAGAACAAATAGTGTCATTGTAATTTAGTATATTTGAACTTAAGCTCCACTTACAGCAAATCAATAATACTACAGTGTACTTCATTTGAATACCAGTTCTGTTTGGTTGAAATAGCACAGTGTGGTACTACTAATCCATTTATGAGTTTTGGTTATTCTTATATTTTAACAAAGACATTTACTCCATGGATGCTAAAATAAAGGACAAAGAATTTCAGAGGAGTGAGAGAGTTCAGTGAAACTTGGTCTTAGCCCAAACTAAGTGACCCAGTGCCTGGTATGACCTTGGGCCTTCGGCTTCAACAGCACATGGTGCCAGTGCCTTTCTCAATTGTAGTGAAGCTGGAGTTCTAGTAGCACTCACACCCAGTGGTCTTGCTTCAACAGAAAAGGTTCTGTATTTATGAACAAAACTTAATTTTAATGAGAAGTCACTGAAAAATCTTGAGAGGTGTAGGTCCTATATCTGCTCTGTTCATTGGGATCAAATGTTACAGAATGGTCTTTCTACAGGCATTATGCAATTAATGCCAAAAGAAATGTGCAGCATTAATTCACCAGTGGGCTAAAAGCATCACAGATTGTATTCCATGACCAAATTGAACAGTGTTACATCTTTTTATACCTGAAAAACACAGAAACCAAACTGACTAGTAAAACACACAATATTCCACAATACAATTCAACTTGCTGAACTCCTTTATGGCCATTGTGATCTAAAACAAAATAGCATTTGAAATTGGTACATATGTTGCACAGGCACACAGACACAACACAGAAGAACATCACACATGAAGCACATGTAAACTATGAATTTTTTTAACAGGGCATGTACTAATTGATCTATACCTATTGATAGATAACCATTTATCTTACGGAAATGAATTCCAATTCAATGTGCACACTAAAGTAAAATCAAACATAGACATGTTTTCTCTTTAATCTCAAATTGAATTCTGATCTCCGATTATGCACATAATTCTGCATGTGTGATATTTTCCATGGTCAATTTAATAGTAATTTTAAGACACCTAAAATGTGTGGGTCTGTATTGGTTGAGGTGTTACGATTTTAAGTATGTTAAACCTGATTAGAACCTGTTGAATTCTGATTGTAATACAGGCAAGCCTTGGGGATGGGGTGGGGAAGGGTAGTGGGGTGGAAGGACGGGGAAGGGAGTGGTCAGGAACAAGCAATAAATCCATTCTTAGGACACCATGTTGGTCAGTTTGAGGTGGCTGCGGGTTTGCATTTTCACAATCATTTTATTATTAATTTACGTTAGCTGGAAAGAAAAGCCACAGTGGTTCCCTATTAACTTTTAATACTTTTAAAAGTTTTAAGAGCAAAAAACTTTTAAGTGACTCCACAACCTTCAGATGCTGTATATTCTGCTGATCCCTGTCACATTTTTGCAGCCCTGTCTGTATGCCATGCCACTACCACAATCTCATCTCCCCATCCCACAATGAATACTACATTTTGGACTAATTGAGTTAACTTTACAGTGCAAAAGAATTGTCATCCAAATACTAGTTGCACACTATGTATACTTCATGGTTATATATCAACATGTTGCCATATTTCAACCAGCATAAATGCACATAAATATAAGAAAAGTAAAATACTTTTTGTTACAACTCCCTCCAAACGAACAATGTTAGGGTGGTCAAATTGGCCCATGATGCTAGCTTCTCTGAGGAAATCCTTTCGTTGCCTATCCATGTAACCTCCTTTTAGGGTCTTAATAGCGACAGGAATTTCCCTTTTTCCAGGTGTCTTTAGCCGACCGCTACAGACCTCTCCAAATTCCCCTAAAAATACAAATCATGAGAACAAGGAAGTTACTTTAATATACTACAAACTGATCAAGTCTCATAAATCTAAGATGGCCACTCAATTTAACCATTATATTTAATATGTGAAAATTCAATGTTAGGTATCTAAAATATCAAGGTCTACAGGACACAGTAAGTCTGTTTGATCGTTGTGAAAGTGTTCGTCTAGGAGTAGTCAATTCACCAATTAGGACAAGTCTTCTTTCAACCTCCAGGCACTTAAAAGACTTGAAATCAGGAATCAGGTTTGTATACAACCAAACAACCTGGCAGGGGCTTCATGTGCTGGATCAGAGAATCTTGTGGACAGATTTTCAATTGCTCCGATCCTATGCAGAGTCTTGGTCATTGCAGATGAAAATTTAAAAAAAAACTTACCAATATTAATTTAAGCACTAGGTAGAGGGGAGTGGGTTAATGCAATGTCTTTCTACTTCAGAAACTTGAGTTAAAATACAGCTGAAACTGCTGGAATGAACATTATTTGTGGCTGATTTTGCATCAAAATAATGAGAAAGTTTGAAGCACATGCTTTGTGAACATGGGCTGCAAACACTAGATGTAGCACTAATTTGAAAACCTTAAGGCCATGAAGATAGGTGTTGCAGCAGGTAGAAACATTGACCTCTATTCTGTATGTGATGTCTTTACATGACTGGGGTTATAGCATTTGGCATGAGAGACAAAGATTGATGTTGCACCTGCTCATGTTTCCAACTGGAGTAAGAACAGTAAAAGGTGGAAAAATCCAGAGGAACAGGCAGCATGAGCAAAGAAACAGTTATCATATCACACTGATGACCTTTTTTTCAATTGGAGATATTTAATATTGCCAAAATATGTTCAAAAGGAAAAATAATTTCTCCAGCACTAGCGGTCTTTTGCTTGGCAATTCTGAAAAAAAAAACACTTTCAAGAAAAACAATACAATATAGATCAGTAAAAAGAATTGGAATGAATTGCAGAAGTGCATGACACACCTTCAGGACTTTATGCACACAACATGACAACTATCCCCACACTAAGATTAAATCATGTCCTAATCTCTATTTTATGATATTTCTCAATAAGTGTTAGGTGTGACAGACTAGGAAAGCAATGTGTGCATAAACAGTTTTGTTGCTATCCAGTAATTAAAAGGAAGACAGCTACTGCACAGTATAAAGCCAGGCACTAGAGCTGAACAAATATCAGAAGTTTGAAATTTTACAAAGCTGGTTATAATAATGGTTAGTTCAGGGGCAAAATGAAACAAATTCGGGACTAAAGTATACAATACTCCTGGGAGTCAGAAGTGATCAGAAAATGAATAATATGTTCTTAGTGACTCCCTGTAACTCCTAAGCTAATAATTTTAACTTGAGTTTTGAAAAGCTGTCAAAATTTGCGTAAAATGATTTGCCATGCAAGAAAAAAACCTTCTTAAAAGAAAAACATATATTACAAGAAACTCAATAAATAGCCTTGTTGTCTTCAGGAGGTTTTCAGAGTTGAAATGTGCATTGAATATTTTTAGTCGTGATTAATGAGCCCTGTACAACACCTCAGAAATTTGTCTCATACAGAATCCCTACTGACTGGATATTATTACAACTATTTGTTTAATCCATCAGCTGAATTGTTATCTATTTGCAAAAGAACATTTGATCATAGATGGATGAGTAGCAGAAGTCTTGAATTTGTTTGGACTTTACATATCTTTGAAAGTGGTTTCTTGCTTACGAAAAGAAATTATTATTGGATGAATTGTTTAGTTTTTCAAAGAAACCATTTAAAAGGGGGCAATTTTTATCATTGCTGCTCTGATCTTGTTTAAAAAGTGGACGATAATGCAACTAAAAGAGTGCAAGAAGCCAAATCATTAATTCAATGCTCTGATCTCAACTATTCCGATTTCTGGATGGACCTTTGTATGAATGACCTGAGATCACAACAGAGAAAGGTAGCAAGGTCATTAAATATACTTTCGTTGAGATCAGATTGTTGCAATCCCCAATATCATTTTCATCTCTTCTACCATCACTTCCCTCTATTGTCCACAAATTATGCGCAGTTCAAGTAAAGAGTTTGCCGCCACTACTACTTGCAGGGATCTTTTGATCCACTAAGATACAAGAGGCATTCTGCTTACATTAGATGTCATATATTTGTGGAAACAATCACTGGTATCTTGAGGTCAGGGTAGAGTACTGCGATTAATCCTTCTCATCATTGTAATTCTAAGGGCCTGTTTGTTTAACATTAGTACAGGATGAACCACCTGTGAGTCATAACAAAAAGAGGCAGTAATTTGACACCAAGATGTAGTTTATTATTGCATGATAGCAAGAGGTACAAGTTACATTGGCTAATCAGACATCATTACTAAGGCTATTCAGAGTCAGGGATATCACATCTGACCTCAATGGGATCTAGAGCCAGGTTCCTTAACTCTACTGCCAAGGCTGCATATCATCATCAGATTGGCTGGAACCTAATGTGGCTTCTAACATTAACTCTTTCAGAATGCATTCCATTGTACAACGTTAAATAATTCTTTTTCATGACTAAAAGATTTCATAGCGCGGGATAGTCATTGTACAATATTTTGAATTGTATTAGTCCTTTATGTGGTCCTTTTGAGAATTCCATTCTGGTAAGAGGGGAGGCAGCAGTAGGAAAAGTTTACAGAGTGATACAGCTGTAGAGAAATAAAATAGAAGAAGGCATCCTCACAGAAAACTAAAACTTTCCAGTGGAGCTTACAGATCCAGGACAGCACAAGTGTAGTTCTCTGAGCAGTGCGTAAAGTGGCTTTGCTTCTTGAGGGAAGCTGTTGCAGTTGTGTAACTTTGTGCTAGAAGCCATGTCCAAATCAGCACTGCCTTGAATTTAAGAACACAGCAGTAAACCATTCAGCTCATTGAGCCTACCACATCATTCAATATGATCAGGTTGATCCAGCACTTCAATGGCTTCACTCACCCTATCTGAAAAATCGTTTACAGCACCAGAGATCAGTACCACAGAAAATGGTCACAGCAGCTCTAAAATTCTTTACCTCTGGATCCTCACAGTTGTTATCAAAGTTATCATTAGTCATCTTGTAGTAGTTCAAATATGCATTAAGCAATTGACTGATATGTTCCTTACCAGAGAAACAACCTCTATCATCATTCCTGTGGACTGTGTGAAATAGCAGGACAGAGGTCTGGAGATCTGATATTTGGTGCAGGGAATGTGTTGTACGACTAATGTCCAGATGACATGCAAACTTCATTAAGTGCACTGATGAGGGCTGCAAGTTTGAGTAGGGATGGAAAATCATGAAAGACTAGCTTGAACACCACTAAACTTAAAAGCAGTGAGCATGTCTTAAAGTGGAGGTCTTTTTTTTAGCTGCGGCATATATTAGATGCCATCTTAGAAATCAGCTGGACCTGGAAAAAGCATGGGTGTGGCAAGGAATGACAAGAAAAGACCACTGCAGATCTCAAATAAAGATTCTCATTTGTGGACATATCTTGTAGCATCCTGCAACTCAAATGTCAAAGAGGACAGAATCTCATGCCCTCCCCTATAGTGTGTTGCATTCTGGATGGCTATTTAATCAGGAGGAAGAACAATCACTGGAATCCATGTTACCTTCCTACCTCTGCACCAATTCAGTCTATGGAAGGAAGACACACTCATTGTCATTAGTTTCAACACAGCAGTGACTGGGAGGCTTGACAAACTGAGGTTTGAATGTCAATGATGGCGAGAGACGGTTTAAAAATAAGAGGTCTCTCACTTATGATGGAGATGAAGAAGTTTCACAGGTTTGAGAGTCTTTGGAAATTTCTTCCTCAGAGAGCAGTGAAAGCAGGGTCATTGAATAGTTGGAAGGCAAAGGTAGTTAGATTCTTGACCAACAAGGAAGATTTTTGGGATGGGCAGGAACATGGAATTGACATCTCATTCAGATCAAAGGCCTTTGGAAAAAAGTGGCAGAAACTGGGAGCATAACCAGTGACAAGAAGTATGTGGTGCTGTTTTATTAAATGCCCTGATGAGACAAGAGCGATAAAGACATGGACTATTTTAAACAAAGTCAAAGGAATCTTCTTTCAAGCATAAAATAATCAGTACTTCATTGCACAATGTAATAAGCATGTTGTATTGTGCAATTATGCTTTTCAGATATTGGTATTTTTAGATCTACTAATATAATTCATGATAAACCTCTAATGGTTTCCAGCAATAACATTGCTTATTATAAACATCTATCAATGTTACGTTACCTGAAGAATCCATTTCATAATGAGTCTAGTGTCATTTTTTAAGTAGTGGGGAGAAGTGATGTCTTCTAATGTTTCTTTGACTACTTCATGATCAGGTAATGAAACATGAAAACTTTTACACAAATAGTTCATAAAATGAAGACCGAGCATAAAAATAATGTTACTATGCTGGTTTTTGATTGAGAAAACACTTTCTTTGAAGCTGGCTAATGTTTTATCTGACACATTAAATTCTTTTAACTAAGTAGGTAGATTGGTCCCAAATTCATTGAATGTGGTGGGAATGATGTGTATGCTAGGGTGAGGCTTAAATGCCATGCAAACTCAAGGGCCAATTCTTAAGTGAAATACTTTTTCCACAGCCATCAGAGCTTCACAGATTTTCCTTTTTACCCAGGTTCACTTCTTGGCTGGCAGATGAGTTCAGTGGCAGGAGACAGCAGCAAGGCACCCGAGTGAGTAGTCCTTGGTTATAAATTGAAGGTCAGGGGCCTCCCTTAAGATTTGATGGCGCCCTGGAGATAGCAAGGGGCAGATGTGTCAGGGGCAAGGGCAAGAAGGTGGTGATGGTGTAACAACAACAAGGGAAATTCTTCTGCATTCTGAAGGAACAATTCTGTTACTCTTGCCCATGAGGAATCTTAAAATGTAATTTGCCAAACTTACTTGTTGTGTCTCCGTTGACCCACAGGTTTCCTCATAACATAATTGGACCTGATCTGCACATGTAATAAAGGACTCCCAGACACTTCTGCGGGTGCCCCACTTGCCTGCTTAAAGAGCAGGAGAGAGCTGAGGTACATGACTTGCCTCATTAAAACTACTGTCAATCTCTCATGTGGGTTTCTGTTGAGTTGAGGAGGTGAGCCTTAAAACGAAACCATAGCATCATCTTAAAATTTAGCTACTTGATTAAAGTAGGAATATCATATGAATGTCACTGCATATTGATATAATCATTGCACCAACAATAATTTCTAGTTTCAAAATGTGACTCTGATCAAGTCTGAAAGAGAAATGATAGTGACAAAAAATAAAATCCAAACCAGATTTTATTTTAACAGAATGAATTAGGAGCATTCCTGGTACAAAAACAAATTCAGCATATTTATAGGTGCTGTGGACTGCAGCTGGCATTATTTGTATGGCTTATAAATTATGTTTAATTTGAAAGTATTTCAGATATCAATTGGATTTGATTACAATGTCTACATAAATTAACACATTATTTAATTAAATTAAAATAGAAAGAACCAACTGTCAATTAATTTGCAATAACAAAGATTAATTCTGACAAGGTATAATGCTCGTCAATTATTCTCACATTTGGAGTTGGCAGTTTTTTTTAAAAAAAGCATATCTGGATCTTAGCCTCAAGCAAACTGATTTCATAATGTGTCTTTCCATAGTTTGTCTTGCACTTTGTAAACAATTAATGGCTTCCAATAAACTGCAGTTTCGAATCAAATTTAATGTCTATTTTGCAAAACTAGATGTTTTATACATTGTGTTCAATATTGATCTGGCAATACACACAAATGGATCACTAAGCAACAAAGCAAAATTAATCCAGGAATGAGAATGTCTTGAAATCCCATATATATTTGCTGAGCAGATATAAGACTGGGTTTATGAATATGTGATATATAATATTTTAAGGCAACAAAGGTTACAATTTCAGTTTTAAAGTATAGGGCAACTTCTGCTTTACTGCACTTTGAGCTTAATGCACACTTTCACAGATGGCATACATATTGGCAAATGTCAAGAGTTAATAGACCAAATCTACAAACTGGGAAGAATTTGTAAAAATCATAACAAACTTAGATCTTTCATGATAGTTTCTAAGATGCATGGATAAAGATAGACAAAACAAGTATATCAGATGAGCAATTGATGATTTAAATTATGAAATCACTTGGGCAATGTAAAGATACATTTAAAGCAAGACACTTTAGTCTGTGAAAAAAAAACTACTTTCATAATTGAAGTGGTTCAAGAAGGTAGTTCACCACAATCTCATCCATGGTAATGGACAGGAGAAGTGGCAAAAGGTTAATAAAGTTGAATTATATCTTGAAGCAGTGGCACAATCTGGGTTGTGACTAATTGCATAGTTCTATAAAAGAATTCACATTGGCCTGATGTGAATTCTTAGAGTGCCATGCAATTCTATGATTCCAATACAGAATTCCACACTTTTACAGCAAGGTACAACAAATGTGTAACCCATTTTGTATACATAAATAAAAGAAAACTTGCATTTATATTGCACTTTTCATGACCACTGCATATCTCCAGGTGTTTTACAGCCAATGAGGTATTTCAGGAATTGTAGTCATTGTGCTTTTTTGTTCACTCATGAGGCAAGAGTGGATGACATTATTGTCTAGGCCAGCATTTCCCACCCATCCGTAGATTGGCCTTGAGAAAGTGGTGGTGAGCTACTTTCTTGAACCGCTGCAGTCCATGTGCTGTAGGTTGACCCATATGCCTTTAGGGAGGGAGTTCCAGGATTTTAACTCAGCCACAGTGAAGGAACAGCGATACATATTTCCAAATCAGGGTGATGGGTGGCTTGGAGTGGAACCTGCAGTTGGTGGTGTTCCCACGTATCTGCCGGCCTTGTCCTTCTAAATGGTAGTGGTTGTGGGTTTGGAAGGTGATATCTAAGGATCTTTGGTGAATTTCTGCAGTGCATCTTGTAGATGGTACACATTGCTGTTACTGAGTGTCGGGATTGGAGGGACTGAATATTTGTGGATGTAGTGCCAATCATGCGGGAGCATTGTCCTGGATGGCATTAAGCTTTTTGAGTGATGTTGGAGTTTAACTCAGCCAGGCAAGTGAGGAGTATTTCATCACATTTCTGACTTGTGCCTTGTAGTTGGTGGACAGGCTTGAGGAGTCAGGAGGTGAGTTCCTCGCCGCGGTATTCCTAGCTTCTGGCCTGCTCTTGTAACCACTGTGTTTATGTCGTGAGTCTGGTTCGGCTTCAGAACAATGGTAGCTTGCAGAATGTTGATACTGACAGATTCTGTGATGGTAACGCTATTGAATGTCAAGGGGCAATGGTTAGATTGTCTCTTATTGTCCCACTTTTGTAAAATGGAAAACCTGGCTGTCAATTTAACTCAGCAAATGTCCACAAAAAACAATATGACAATGGAAAGTCAGGCCATAGACTAACAGGTTCAGATACTGAGTAGAAAAGTGTTTAACATAGTCACTAAAATAGCAGAGAAGGGAATTTTTACTGAATGGGTTAATGGCTTGAACCAATTATTTCCACAATGTGCCTTCAAATTCCTTGCTTAGTCAAATGATCACTGCTAAGCAAAATGGCCTGGATGGATTAGTTGCAGAAAAAAATCATGCCCCAAAAAGGCTTCAACTTTTAAGGGACCAGTCAAACTAAAACAATTTTATTACCAGCAGGAAGGATTCTCTGGTATTTTCCATGACTTTTTACCTGCTCCAATTACTCTCTCTATGCGAATTCTGGAGGGATCTATTTCTTTCGCAAATTCATGCACAGCTTGAGATGGGTCTTCATAGGTATCAGGATCAATGTACGTTCTCATCTCCGGAAATCTGACTAGAAAGAATTAAAATAGAATTTTACATTTATTGAAAATGAAATAGACTCAGCACAACACAGAAATCCTCTTTCAAATTACTAGCAGACTTTATTTGTAAGGTATTGGCTTTTCTCTATGTATTTAATCACAGAACCATCAGGTATCCTGGAAATTGGTAAAAGGAAATGTGCATTGTAAAAGTCTATGCAATGGGAATCTGCTTCTCCATGTGGGGCTATAGGTTCAGCAGATTTATTCTGCAAATTACAATGGAAGCAGTTGTTTGCTGATTAGAAATCACTGATGAAGAAGTGATTGCTGTGATATAATTAACTCTGCAGCCTTACTTTCTTTTTATATTATTTACCCTGCTGCATTCAAGATTCTGGTACAATGATGGAGGACAATATTAGGAATATGAAACACAACTGGGGCACTTTGATATTAATCTGTCTCATGCCCACTGCCACTATCAGAACATTGAGCAAACCATATGCGGCTGTAAGCTGCAAGGGTTCCCTTGGTTGCCCATTGGAACAGCAGTAGATTATCTAAATGCTCAACAGAAATAGTGAGAAATGGCTATTTATCTTGTATTTCAGGCTGACGGTCAGGAGAGCCCTGAAAAACTCACCCCGATATTTGGAATCCATACTGTCAAAGTATGCCACTTTTTTAAAATACTAACAAGCACGTTCATCTATAGTTGCATTCAAAAAAGCCACAACTGCTAGAAGATAAGATTTTTACAGTAAAACCTCAGTGATAAACTGTAAGTTGTCAACAATACATTTCAGTTCAGTGAAAATTTGCATGTGCTGATTACAAACTCAATTTGATACATCACTCTTCCATCACAGAGTTCTAATAATGAATGCTTTTGTATTGGGACAGTTCTCCTTTGGAAATGCATTCATGGAATAGCACCAATTAAAATTAATAACTCATTATCCTTTTGCTCCAAGTCATAAAGGTTGATGAAATGGAAACAGTGAAATTGGTCATTAGTTCTCTTCATAAGTTAGGGGAATACAGTTTTGTTTTTTGCATAACAACACTCTTTTTTAACCAATGTGGGTAAGAATCTCTCCTAACCAACATCTTTTCCATGTGAACTGGTGGTAACTCAACAAGAACATCTAAGTTTCAAATTACATATTGTAATGCTTGTCCTCTTGGAAAACAATTCTTGGGATAGCTGGATAAATTAATCATCTCTATCTGCTTTGTCTTTTTAATGGGTGTGACATATGTAGGTGAGCCGTATGTAAACAGTGGGGAGTGAGATTGCTGATATTAAAGCTGCATAGTGAATATGAGAGAACAAAACAGCATAAAACTGATCTTGTTTGTGTTCCAGTTGTGACAATGGCATTAAAAATTGAAATAAACAAATGGAAAAGAATAATGAAGCAAGCTGTTTTGCTTTTGGTTGTTCTTATCAACATCTTTTGGACTGAAGCTTTCTCCCAAACATTAGTAGCATTACTGTTAAACTAGTATTACTGATTGCCAGCGGTAGGCAGAAAATGAAAAATTCCTATACTGACAAAAGGGCAACTACACTGACCCCAGCAAGAAATTCTAATCTATCTTTTCAACCTTCCAAAGGATTATTTCAACTAGTTATAACTTATACAAGATCTTAGCTTGACAAGACACCTCAGTAAATAAAACATGAAATAATCCATTCCTCAGCAGCTTAGTTTTTATTTTAATTAATATAAAAAAGCCGATTTTTTATATTATATTATATGAAAAGGAAAATCAAATAATCTGTCCAATCACTGCAGTATGAATTAACTAACTTGTAAAAAAATGCTTGATAAAATAGGCTTGAAGGCAAAGTATTTCAACAATGTTATGTGAACACTAGTAGTAAACTGTTTATTCATATCTTAAAACCTTGATATGTCCCACTGTATCTGACGATATAATGCTAACAGTATGACTTTGTGAGCATTAGTATCTATTTTTCTGGAATATTGTGGATTAAATGACAGATGATGGTCTTGCTTCAAATGATTGCTCAGATTTTAGACAGGTCATTTAATGGGCACAGAAGGAAGGACAAGTGTTCCCAGTGTTTAAAAGAACTTTTGACAGCTGTATGTGCCCAGTCCCATGAGAAAAGAGGCCATGCTAGACTGTTTTTTTGGAATGAGGTGGCCCTAGTAGATCAAGTGTCAGTGTGAAAACTTTAGGAAACTGTGATCATGGTATCATAAGGTGTTAGGATGACGATGGAAATGAACAATCAAAAGTATGAATGATTAACTAGGAGAAAGCTGACTTAAATGGTATTAGAATTGAGCTGGAGAACAGAGATTGAAGTTAAAGGTTCTAGGTGAGAGAATGAGGAATTGTCGCTGTTTTGTGTATATCTGGTGGGTGGGAGAATGGGAAACTGCATTTTCATGAGGTGCGATTGGGTAATAATCACATGCTGATCCATGCAAACAGGCCTCCCACTACTCACAGGTGAGATTTTCATCCTACCATTGAACACTTAATTGGAGAAAGAGACTTTTTGCTCTCTACGTTGAAAATTCCCTTACTCTTGATGTCACCCTACTTTACACCTATATTCTCACCAATGCCCATGAAAATCCTATCCATTGATTCTACCTTTTTCTCTCAATGGAAGGTAAAGTGGTGGTGGAGGGTGAAGGTCAATTAACTCAGATGGTTAGCATATTCAATACCTGTACTGGTGAGATTGGCCTGCCTCCTCACCTTTCCCCACACTTACACATTATTGTCCATGAGGGGATGTTCTCCATCATTGCAGAGAGAATCATTGGATGTTCCAGCACAGAAGGAGAGAATTTCTCCCACCATGAGTCCACACTGGCTTTCTGCAAGAATAATTCAGCAAATTTCCACGACTGGGAACAGTTTTCATGGTTTTGAACACTTCTGCCAAACCTTCACTCTAACTTCTCTTCTTTAAGAACAACTTCAGCTTCTCTAGTTTATTCAGAAAATCCGAGTACGTCATCTCTGTAACCATTTTGCAAATCCTTTGCTGACCTTCCTTATTCCACATTTGTCCAAATGACTGTTAATTTTGATTTCGATTATCATTTCTAAACGTTTTCCCACCTTTGTAGTTAAACTGTCTGGTTTAAAAAAAATTAACGTGATTAGGATTTTCTACTCAATACTTCATGGCTGTTCATGGGAATTCTTGAATGTGGTTGGTTGCTTGGACCACTTGGTGACATCACTGGGCCTCCATGCTAGGAATCTACACTGAACCATGAGTTGGATCTTCTCCTGGCTTTCAGTCCCTGACAGTACAATCATTCTGGATGTGGCAGTCTAATTAACTCCCTCCATGATCATGATTAAGTTTGGGGACAAACTTCTGATACTGCTAGTCAAATCAGAGCCCACAGCAACTCTGGAGACTTTGATGCTTGACAGGGAGAGGATGGCATGGCTGAAGTATATCAGGGATTGAGAAAGTGCCCAAACATGGAGGTAGCCTTGGAGGTGTGCATTCAAATGATAAATTGAGGGATCAAGCTATCAGGCTCCTCACAGCAGAGGGGACATCACTCTGGAGATATTGTATAACCTACAGGTGTGGCTTTCCTGGCGAGGCACACTCTTTGGGGGATGGACCCCCTGGCTTTGGGGATGTTCTCTGGCCTCTGAGCTCCATTGTCAAAGTGGTCTCCAGATGTAGCCGAGGACTCTGCCAGCAGTAAAACATCAGTACGCCCGAGAAATCAGATCTAATTGGGTTCATAATCAACGTAATTTTTAAGGTGAGAGGAGAGAGATTTTAAAACAGACATGACGGAGAACTTTTTTCACAAAGTGGTTTGTGTGTGGAATGAACTTTCAGAGCAAATGATGGATGAGTACAGTTGCAATGTTTAAAAGACATTTAGATAGGTTCATGAATAAGAAATGTTTGGAGGGGTATGGGCCAAGTGCAGGGGCTAGTTCAGTTTGTGATTATGGTCGGCATGGACTGGTCAGACTGAAGGGTCCATTTCTGTGCTGTATGGCCCTATTAATTGGCTGCCTACCTCTGTGACTCAAGCAATCATCTCATGCATGAGGAACAACAGTAAGACTTTTGGGAGTCATCCCCATGCACATCTCTTCTATTTTCTCAGTACCTCAGCCCTGTAATCTATAGATTGAAAAATTCAGCTTTAACTGACTATCAATTGCTTGTTGAGAGTGTTAAAAGTTCTTGCCACCTCACTAGATCTCTCCGGGAGGCTTTCTTTGAGATCAGTTGTAACAACTGATTTTGGTTTCACTGCTGACCACTAAACAGGATAAGCTTTGCCAGTTATTCTTTTACATCCAAATGTCATTTCCTGGAAAACATACAATTAAATTGTGTAGCAAATAACTTGACATAAGAATAACTTAACAATACTTAAAAAGTCAGACTCCATCCCATTCTACCACAATGTAGTCAGTCTTGGCTCGATTCTACTTACTATGTCCATTTTGGAAATGTGTTCTCCTCTTTTCTTCAGATTTCATTTTTGCTTTAATATACCAGCGGCACCTTCACAAAGACAGGAGAGTGAAAGCCGTGAAATATACACCAAGCAATCTTCAAACTTTGGAGAATACATGTCAACCTCAATAGTTATCAAAGCAACTCAGAAATTGAAGAAACATGTTAGAAATGTCTGGAGGACAACAGTATCTTATGGTGATCTGTGAAAGTAATAAGATAGATTGCTTGCTGTGTGAAAGGCTCTTTTGCTGGAAATACGACAGATGAATACAGAAGCAAACAGAAGTGACTGATGGTGTTTAATAAAGTCTAGCATGAAGCACAAGAGACACAAATCTACTATATAGATTACTTCCAGCAAAAGGACATTATCTCAAGAAACAGGCCTTTGTTTATTGTGGATGTTTGTTGCTACCACCTAATTGAGGAACAACATCAAGATAATAGTTATATAATTACCAATTCATCAGACTTTGCTATCTCAATGCTAATGGATATTGTGCTATTTCATGGATGGCTTCAAATTCCTCCATACTTAAAGGAACATAATATGTCAGAAATATCCCACTTCTTGCGGCTTTTCTCTTACTCGATAATGAAATACTTGTCCACAGATGCATAAAGAAAGTGAATTGATCATTACCAGTTAACAGCAGCAGATTTACTGTCATGAAAACTTCCGTTGTTGTTTTTTATGAACTGATGTTCTGCAGACACAGATCTGTGACATTCCAATACCATTGTTTTGAGGAGAGAGGGAAAAGCCAAAACAACTGATTATTAATGATGCCTGCTGATGACCAACTCAAACAGGAGAAAATCTAATTATCACTCTTTGACATCCAATGGCACTAATAACATTGAATTCCCCATTAGGAAAGTACTGGGAAAACAGAAACTGAACTGGATCAGACATATAAGTACTGTGGCTACAAGAGCAAGTCAGAGACAGAGAATTCTGCACTGAGTAACTCATCTGATTTCCCAAATTCTGTCCACTACATCCAAGGCCAAGTCAGGAATCTGCAGAACACTCCCTACTTCAGAGTGTATATGAGAGGGTGATAGCTAGACGCTCAACCCTAAATCATAATTCCACACACATTCAGGATGAACCAGCAAATGTTGTCCAACTGCTGAATCATGTCTAATGACAGACATGGGTGTGTCTCATGTTTCGCGTGCATAGGTTTTGGGGTATGGCCAGTACCTTGTTTGTGGTGAACAGCTGAAAGGACATGCCACTTGTTATGATTCACCAGTCTTGCGGACATACAGCCTACATATCTGACATCATACTGGCACTCAAACTCAAATACCATATTCTGGGAAGGGTCCCTGGACCTGGAATATTAACTCTGATTTCTCTCCACAGATGATGCCAGACCTGCTGAGATTTTCCAGCAATTTCTGGTTTTGTTTTATATACCATATTAATCATTTGTAAGATAGGCAGAATTTTTTTTGGCTTGACTCTGTCAGTGATGAAAATCATTTGTGTTGCTACTACATAGTAGTCGCGTGAAACAACTTGCTTCACATGTTGCTCAAATTTTCAAAATGCCCTAACCTTAATCTAAGATAAACTGGGCATTTTTCAGAACCAATAGTAACTGACTTAGGGGCCTTCCATGAGTTTGATTGATACATAGCAAGAAATCATCTGATCATACAAACCGATATCTCGCAGCATGGCTTTGATATGCCCTAGAAACCATGTTGGAGAATTAGTGATAGAAATAGACTGAAGGAGAGATGCCATGACTTCATGGTGGTGTAGGATGTCCTCAAAAATAAGCCTCAAAGGGATAAGGAGCGGTGGCCAGGGACGTGCAATGATGGTAGTGAAACACAAGGATCTGGTATCAGAATTCTAATAAATACATGTGAGTGTACAAGGTTAGTGAGTGATCCTTCATCCAACATCTCATTCTCTCTCAATGCTCAATGCAGGCCCCCACCACTCCATCATCCGGCCTCATCACTCAGCACTCACATCTAGAAACCAAATATGTCATTTACCCTTGCACATCTACCATTGCTTTCACTCTTAAACAAACTTTTCACTGCTTGATATACATCCCAGCTACTCAGCTGTGCCAGACAACCAGTGACATTCCGACCTCTTTCTTAAACAACAAGGCGGTGCACAATAGAAAGAAGAACAGCAGAACCAGTAGGGAGCAAGAGCATTTTGTTTCCTGGGCCCAATGCACTCACTCGTTTGGCAGAGCACATTAAGCAGTTCCTCTGGTGTTTTTGAGAATATTGATGTTCTTGCTTTATCATCTTTCTCCAGTGTAACCTCACCATCATTTTGCTAACTGTGATGTGCAACTTTCTGATGGTGCAACCATGGATCTTTTGCTTCCAAGATCATATCCCTTCCCTTACAACATTCTTCTCCTTCAAGTATTCTGCTTTCAGCATTCAAAAATTTCTGCCTGTCTAGTCACAGGAGGTCCAGGAGGAAGAGTGAGAGAAGTGCAAGAGAGAGTTACCAGATACAGGTGGGCTGCAGCCTCACCAGGGAGAAAGGACACCTCTTGTGCCAGGTCCCTTAAGTTGTGCTCACAGTCAGGTTCTGCTGTGGGTTACTCAGATAGGGATTTTAAGGGGGCAGCATGGAGGAGAACATCGAGGGTACACTGCATGCTGGTTGTATAGGCTAGCACATCAAGGAGAATAGAGAAATCTGGCTCCAACTAAGAGTGTATTGTACAGGACTTGTCATCCCCACAGCCTTTGTTGCATTTCCCCACTACACTGCACAGGCACACTGTAACTGCAGCCCAACCCATGCTACAACCTCAATGTGGAAGGTCAGCCTCTGTCTGCCTTATGAGGATGCAGTAACCCTCCCAACAAAGCCATGAACACACCACAACACATTTCGGGAGATTCAGATTACTTCCAGAGACTTTGCAATAGGAAAATTCCTCAAAAATCACCCTATCTGCCAACTAGCTTACTGGTCCTTTCAATTACAATGGTGCTGGAGCCTCCTTGCACCTAACCCCCGGATGGTATGGGAAGACTCCTCTGGAGACCTCCCTCCCCACCACACACACACACACACACACAAGAGTTCCATGTCATTTAGTGTCATCATGGCATAGCTCCTTACGCACATATTCAGTAACTATTATTGAAGTAAAGGTATATTTAACCGTTCAGTCCACACCAAATTTAGAAAAATAGCCTGTACTGCTTCTGGGTGATAATTGTTCATTTCCCACATCAATGTCAGTGGCCTCCCTGTACCAGATTTTCACTGCATGCCAAACTAAATAGATTTACACTGCAGATGTGTCTCTCATAACTGGATTGATGCTTTTACAAATTTTCTACATTGAAAAGACGATCCATTTAAAAAACAAATCTGTGGTGAAGTTAAGACTCCGTCTCTTTTCAAATAACTCTCCCCCAATTTGGATCTGCTGGTCGAATCTGTGTGGGAACTGGCTGATTTCTTATCATCCCAGAAATGATGACTATCTGTCAGATAGATCTCAAATAGCTGCAGCCTCATCGAGCACTAATGGGTAGACAGAAAACATGCTCCACTGAATCAGAGAGTGTTTAGGCTTAACTTGAAATTAACCTCTTGATACCTGCTTTATGTTTGACAAACCCAGTGAAAAATCAGACTACTCAGCCCAACACAAGACGAATGACAAGCTCAGATGGATACTGTTAAACACACATTAGTTCTTCTCTAATTCATATGCAACAAGGTTGACTTCTAAATTAATTAGTAATGATTCATTTTAGTCAGAGCCCACATGGCATTTGATCTTGAAATGAACATATGTGCAATATGTTCCATAAGTAAACAGGAGCATGATTACTTTGGGAAATATGTTTCACCAGCTGTATTCACACCAAATAGCGAATTCCAAAAATATAGCAAAGGTACACCACTGTGGAAAATGAGTCCTTGGAGGAATACATTTGAAACAAAGAAAGAGAAATGATAAATATCTGATGCAAAGGAACAAAAGAGCAGAGTAGTACTATTAGTTTTGTTTAGTCTAGCAAAGAGTGAATGTGGATGCCACGGGGCACATGGTCTTCTTATGGGATTTAATTTCAATTGCAAAATTAACAATCAATCAAGCAGAATTTCTGGATCTTAAATTCATGGAAAACTATAGAATGATTAATACTTAGCTCCATTGACTTTATGAATTTTCAAATACTTCATCAAGTGGAGATATCTTTGGACTATATTGACACTGTTCATATAGTTACAATGCTTTTACACTTTGGGTGATATGTACTCAATGGAATTTCCAAGTTAACCTTGCTTATATATTTGTGACCTTGTTCATCATTCTTGCTGTCAATGCAGGGCCTTCTGAATTTCATGCTACATTGGTGAATCATATTTCTCTACTGATTCTTTCATATACCACTAGTCTCACAGTCTAGGCAAGGTTCTTTTAGTAAGGCCCTTTTCTTTCTTGGCAGAAACATGTTTGAAATTAATTGGTGCCAATCAGAGATCTGGTTTGGGAATTCTTGCTGAAAGAAGCCTCATAGTGGAAGTTGTGTTGAAAGCATATGAAAATATAAGAGCATATAAAATATAAGCAGAAAGAGGACATTCAGCATCTCAACTCTGCATTGCCTTTATACCAAACTATGGTGATCTACCCTAGGCCTCGAGTCCTTTGTCATGCCAGCTCATCATGGTCCTCAACTCCCTGACAGTTCAAAGATCTACCTCCCTCCTCTTTAAATAGTTTCAACAATCTAGACTCCACAATTCGCTGGGATAAAGAATTCCAGGCATTTGCTACCCCCGAGAGAAGAAAATCCTGCCCATTTTCGTTTTAAATGAGTATCCCCTTACTCTGTAACTATTACCACTTGCTCGAAATTCCCTGGCTAATGGTAACATCTCCTCAACATATACACTGTCAATCCCCCTTCGAATCTTGGATGCTTCAATACGATCACCCCTCATTCTTATAAGCTCTAATGAATAAAGACCTAACCCATTTAGACATTCTTGATAAATCAATCCTTCATCCCAGAAA